CTTGCCGCCGCTGTCGTGTCTACATTAAAAACAATTGTGGCTGTAACTGCTCGCTAATCTTGTATTTACATAAAACCCAAATTCTCTCTATGTTAATACAGAACTGCCAAATTTCTCTCGTCTGTCAGGTGTTTAAGCCTCGTACCCCACCAGAGGCCATTGCCCTCTGCTCTCGACTGCTGGAATACACGCCGGTGACCAGGCTGTCTCCCCTGGAGGCGTGTGCACACGCCTTCTTCGATGAGCTGCGCCAGCCCAATACCCGCCTGCCCAGCGGACGAGAACTGCCGCTCCTCTTCAACTTCAGTCCCGTTGGTCAGTTTATATCATCCTTTTTGTCTCTTATCTCCACTATGTGTTTATTTGTGTTTGATGACCTTCACTCAGATGCTCATGGTTGGTTGTCATATCTTTGCACCTATAGTAATATTATATGTGAAATGAAACATTTGTTTGCCTCGCTGCTTTCTCAGAGCTGTCTATCCAGCCCCAGTTGAACTCCACACTCATTCCTCCTCACGCTCGTGCACAGACATCGCCTGCCTCACATGGTATGTATCGCAGTGTAAAATTATACTCAAGGTTTTTTTTTTAAGGGATTTATTGGCTGTTTTTATTTAGCTCTTTGTCCTCCAGCAATAGTGAAGTAACACTGAATTTACACCTTCCAATTATACCCTACTATCAGTTGACAAATCGTAGTGTGAGAAACAAGATATATTCTGCCTACTTGGTGTATTGTGGTCAATATAACCCCGACCCAAATCCCTAAGAGTTGCCTTTGGCCAGACATTGACTGTCAAAACATTTATATTTATTTTGGACACATTATAATCTCGAGATAGTTCATTGTTGATATTTTAACTGTCTATATACCAAAAAATGATTGTTGATTCTTTCTGTAAAATGAGCTTTGGTGTTGGTAATGAGTGCTCCCTTTCTCCCCCTACAGAGGGCAGTGTGTCAGACAGTTCCGCCCAGCCCAGCTCAGCGCCTGGATCCATCAACAACAGCACCTGAGCATCCATCCCCTCTGTCATCCTTTCTTTTTGTCTTCCCCATTTTCCTTTTCTCTACTCTGCTCTTCTCCCTCTCAACCTTCCTCCTGGCTCCAAATCCTTCAGATAGAAAAGAAATGACTACACACACACACACACTTAGCATTGCTATTTTCCTTGAATTTTAACCATTTCCAATAGGAAGCGATTTCTGTGGCCACTAGCTTCAGGAAGGTGTTGTTTTAAGGACATTTTGGTTGCCATGCTTGGGCTTAGCAAAGCTGCAGTTCTAAGCCCATGGTGGCCCTCTGGCCTGTTAGAATAAAGAAACTTTACATTGGCTGGGATGTTTGGGAGATGAGGAGGGGCGGGGGTTGTACATGTTATATGGATTTTCTGTATTATAATCTACATTTGACTTTTATCCCTTTTTATGTTGATTTTATTTGCATTAACTAATTTTATCTGTGGCTGTGGTGCCATCGAATGGGGTCCTGATTGGCTATGGAGTTGAGAATGAGGGCCACATTTAAGGCCTGACTAATATTGACAATCATCCTTAGTAGGGTAAAAAAACGGCACACTTGTACTGTACATAGTGTTTGATCGTGCAACCTACTATGTAGACTAGTGGCTTTTCTGTCACTATCTACCCTGAACTCTTCTCAAGTAATGTCAGTTCACCCAGCCCAATAGTGAACAAATGTGAATAATTTTTTTAAATCTCCCAGTTTGATACCAAACAGAACATATTGGCTGATTTGGTCCATGTCATTTTAGATAAGAGGTGGTTTTAAATTTTATTACAAAGAGAGGTTCCACTGCCTGTCTTTACAGTTTATTTTTGAATGTTAGCTCCTCAACTGCCTTTTATGTGAATGAGAGGGAGCTTTATACGAGCAGAGTGCACATCTTTCAGTTTCTTCAGTATAAGCTGTTTTCTTTTGGTTAAGCTGGAAACCAAGAGTTTCATGTTAATTCTCATGTGAATATTGCACATCTTCAAAGGGAGTAGAGGAGAAGTAAAGGGGCCAGTTGTGTGTACTCGTCCAGCTGCGGACATACCTGTACACAGAGGGAGCCGTGGTAAGGGGCTCCGGCTGCATCTAATACAGAAGCCTCAATGTCTCTCATGTCATAAACACAGTTTTCTAGCACTGTAGGGTGAATAGTCACCTCATTAATTATGTCACTTTACGGTGTTAAGTTTCATATCAGCTTGATTATGTTGAAGAATGAAATTGGGTGCAGAGGGTACCGAGACTGCCCGCTTTCCTCTGCTCACCTTGGCTCGTCATTGTCATTTCCGCTAGTATTCACAGTTATTGTTTGTGCAGGGGGAGGACTCTGAACGAATTGTGTTTGGTTTGTGAGAGAGATTTGGTTGAAACCCTCTTCAGCCCTTCCCAAACAGCCTGCCTGTGACACTCATATCATGTTCTTCTCCTGTGACCGCCGTAGGAACTGATCTTGAATGATTTACGCAGCCTAACTAGTCTCTGCACGGACTAGTTTTCTTTCTTCCGCCACGCAAATTTGCATGTTCAGCCCAAGTTGACCACACTATATTTCTTCCACTAATCTCAGTAATAATCTGACCAGAAAATGATGCTGAAACCCCTGAAACCCAACAGCTTTTGGAGCCTCCCCTTCCATTCCTTTTTATCCCCATCCCTCTGCCTTCTGCTTCCGTCTGTCCTCCTCCTTTTTTCACTGCTAAACTGTAAATATCAAGTACCTTTTATTTTATTTTGTTATTTTTGTTATTGTTATTATATTGTTGTTCTTGTAATTTTTTTCTCTCTAGTAGACCGGTGCAGCAGCGACCGGGCTGTTTATCCTCAGTCGCAGTCTGTAAATACGATTTAATTTCAGTCCCTTGGTGCAGGAGGGAAAAAACAGAACAAAATGTTTCATTTTTATTCTCTCTCCCTCCATTTCTCTCTTCACAACTGTCCCTTTTCCCTCATAAATGTTGTCATAACTGTTTTATTTATTGTATTGTGTTTTGTTTTTTGTTTTTTT